CTCAGGCCAGCTTGGCTCCCCCCATAAATGGGTCTTTAATGTTTCAGCTCCCTGCTGTCTCACCATGGAGTGGTACAAGCTTACGGGACAGGGGAATGTGTCAGGATCAGAGGGAAAACCAGCCCCCAGGCTTGCTGCTGGCAGCTAGCTGTGTTATGAAGTCCAGGTTTTAGTACTAGCTTCTCCAGACCTCTGGGCATGTCACAGAAGACTGTCAGCCCCAAGTGGTGGTGGCTCTTTTTCCATAGCAAGAGGCATGTGTTAAATATAAGGAAATACCAAAAGAAGCCACTAAACTCAGCCGTTTCCTCTCTTGTGTTTTTTAAAGTGGGGAAAGAAAAGCTTTTTGAAAACTGTTCCTCCTACAAGAGGAATGCTTTGTAATGATGATTTGTCTCTCGAGCTTCCTCTGAACTGTATTTGAGAAAGAAATGAACCCTGAGGCAGGATGGAGATCAGAAAAGGAACTGTGAGCAGGGCTAAGCCAGGCGCTTGTGAGAAGGATAAATGCTTGCACAGACTTAAGAAGGGATTGGACCAATTCATGAAGCAGAAGTCCATTATAGAATCATAGAATCGAATAGAATGGAAAAGACCTTTAAGATCATCATGTCCAACCATCATTAACCCAGGAATGCCAAGACCACCACTAAACCATGTCACTGAGGGCCTCACCTACACAGTTTTTGAACACTTCCAGGGATGGCAATTTCATCACTTTCCTGGAAGCCAAAGGCTATTCAGAACAAAGGTGCTAATTCAGAGTTAAATAAAAGAGGGTCCGCAATGGGACACTGGCCCTGGCCCCGCTGTGGATGCTGTAGATATTATCATGGGTCAGGGCCAGGCTCAGCTGCAGCACCCCTGGAGCCAGTGGCTGGCAAGGCAGCAGGGATGCTGGGGTAATGGAAACCCTTCATCTGTGCTTTGGCTTCTGAGGCTTCTCAGGGTGGCATGGCTGAGTAAAATCAAGAAAGAGCCTCCCAGGGGTCAAAGTGATAAGCCCATCAGCTACTACAGAAGAGTATAGCGGATGACAGCAGTCTGGAGTATCTTTTGGGAGCTGAACAGGACCCCATTCAACATGGCAAGAGGGACTGTTTGCTGTGTCAGGACATGAATGATAGAGGCAAAGCTCTGTACAGTGAATGCTGAGCTCATCCTCTGCCCCTGGGCTTTCTTCAGTATCCTCTTCGGGTGCTTCTGCTGGCTGCATCTAATTCCAATATGGCTTAGTAAAGTGAGCATGGGACAGCAGCGTGAGGTCTAGCAATCTAGCCCCGGTATGCCCCAGGCGTAATATTCACCTCTCCACACCTCAGTTTCCCTTAGTAAATTGGATAATAATGAGATCTATTAACACTGTCATGTTACATCACACGTGTGGCAAGTGATTCATTACACGCAAAGCTCCGAGCACGTACGGCAACACACAGGGGTCAGGCAGCACCAGGCTCATCCCAGCGTGATGCGTGTCCATGAATGAGGTGGCTTTCCACCTATCCCTCACCTTCTTCTCCATCCCATCTCCCCCAGCTTTTCGCCTCCCATCCTAGGGAAGGAAACAGCTGGACCCTGGGAGATGTGACTTCTTTCCAGGTGGGACCCAGAGGGCTTTTGGTGCTGGGGATCATGCCAGGAGCTTCTCCACCACACTTTCTTGCTGCCACCAACTGCCACCCATCTCCCATGTGCCTGCATGCATGTTCCTTACTCCCTCATGGCCAAATCCCACGGGAAGCAACACATCCAGCTATGGGGAGATGCGGGTTGTGTTCCTCCAGCTCAAGGATGAGGGTATGACTTGCCCTGTAGCAAAGGATTAGGGGATGCTGGTATTGGTAGCTCAGAAAAGAGGGGATTAAAGGATACCTCGATCAGAGGGCTATAAATACCTAGGTTGGAAATAAAGCAGAGATAATGGGCTGCCGAGTGCAAGAACAAAGCCACAGCAAATCCAACAGCAAATCAATAAACACTCCATGGAGAGCTCAGTTTTAACATGGGGCTTTGTTTGCAGCAGTCACCAAAAGAGGGGGTGGGTTTACCACCCTGGCTATTTAAATCTCAGGTGTCAATGCTTCTTTAAAAGAAAAACCGCCTTTGAGGCAAAAGCTATTTTTGGGATGCCCGGGTTGTGCACCAGAGGTCAGAAGGGATGATCACCCTGACCCTTTTGTTCTTGTAATCTGGGACCTGCAAGTTATATCTCTTAATCTCTCTTTAAAAATCCCAGGCCAATGAAACTCGGGTTAAGGATGAGTAGAGCTGTGCTTACACAGCTCGGCACCACTATCTCTAACCCTTACTAACTCCTCAGTAGCTCTCAGTGTGACAGCCACAGAAGCATGACCATTAACTTCCGTCCTTGCCCATGGCAGGGGGCTGGAATTGAATGATCTTTAAGGTCCTTTCCAACCCAAACCATTCTATGATTCTATGACTTTGTGTGTCATGCTAGGGCAGGACAATGTTGTTTTCTGAGAGATGCAGCGGCAAAAGGCCCTTTTCCCTGAAAAATCAATTTATTTGTGTGTCACTAAGTACAAGAAAACAAAAATAAATTTGAAGGTCACAGCCTGTGATTTTCATTGAGCTATGGAGAACAGAAAAAAGTCATATAGAATCATAGAACCATAGAACAGTTTGCGTTGTAAAGGACCTTAAAGATCATCCATCATCCTTAAAGATCATCACCTCACACTAAACCATGTCATCCAAGGCTCTGTCCAACCTGGCCTTGAACACTGCCAGGGATGGAGCATTCACAACTTCCCTGGGCAACCCATTCCAGTGCCTCACCACCCTCACAGTAAAGAGCTTCTTCCTTATATCCAATCCAAACTTCCCCTGTTTAAGTTAATTTACTCCTTCTTCCATTGCTAGAAGAGTCTTTCAGCTGAACTAGTATTTCAAGGTGTCTATTACAAGAAGATATTTTGTTCAAACAAATGCTCTTGAAGAACCACTACAACAGTCATCAGCAGCACCACTGCCAGAGCAGCCTGTGAAATGGAGCAATCTCCCTGCCTTGCTCAGAATATGTTTTTTTATATTTATTTAAACACACACAGAGCAAGACTTATCTTGACAGGATCAGGGCAGCACACCACAGACTCTAACGTCCAGGATTACTTATTTCACTCTGCCAAAGAAATGAAGCTAAAACTCCACAAAGCAGCACTGAGTGTGAGCCCGAGTGGTGTCAGGCTTGCACACCAGGCCATCAGCAGCTCCATTCAGTTCATATTCAGTCCTGAGCCTGTGTAACAGCCTTTGAGCATCACCCCTGACTCCTAGCAAGTGTGTTTCTTTGTGTTATTAAAAAGCGGGAGGCTTTGGTTTGTGGAGATGGGGAGGTTTGCTCATGCAGAAACATTTCTGTAACAAAGAATTTTGAGGGGTTTGTTGTATCTGTAAAGGATCCATCAGTCCCTCATTCAATTTTTCCAAACAATGTAAGGCTCCCAAGGTTAAACACGTGTGTAGCTGTGACTGCTGCCCCTGGATCCCCACAGGTGGGGATCGCTGCCCCGCCATCTATCCTCATTATATTGCCCCAGTGTTCCACCCTACCAGAAGGCCAGGACTGAGATCCACGGGTGTGCACAGGTGTTTGGAAAGCCAATTTATAACAGAGGAAGGGAGAATGCTCACTGCATGCCTGCCCCAGGGTGTGCTGCAGCCCTGCAGCCCCACTGGTACCCAGCTCCCTGCATGACCAAGTCACGTTCAGGGAACTGGGAGGCTGTGGTCTGGATTTTGCCTGCTGGGGCTGGGCTCACTGCTGGCAGGAATCCCTGCGAACCCACCACAGATGTGATATGTGCATATATACATGCATGTATTATATATAAACACATGCATATTTATGGATAAGTGTGTGCATGTGCACACATATATATACAAATATATGCACATGCATATATACATACATATACATATATATACACACATACACACACATAGATGTATACATATGTGTATGTAGAGGTGAGCCAATGCGAACCTCATGAAGTTCAACAAGGTTCATAAAGGTCCTGCACCTGGGTCCGGGTAATCCCAAGCACAAATACAGGCTGGGAGGAAACTGAGTGGACAGCAGCCCTGAGGAGGACCTGCGTGTGTTGGTTGATGAGAAGCTCAACATGACCTGTCAGTGTATGCTTGCAGCCCAGAAACCAATCGTGGCCTGGGCTGCATCCCCAGCAGCATGAGCAGCAGGTCAAGGGAGAGGATTCTCCCTCTCTACTCCACTCTCATGAGATCCTCCCTTTGCAATCCTGGGGTGCCCAACACAAGAGGGACATGGACATGCTTGAGCAAGCCCAGAGAAGGCCATACAGATGCTCTGAGGGCTGGAGCAGCTCTGCTCTGGAGACAGGATGAGAGAGCTGGGGTTGTTCAGCCTGGAGAAGAGAAGGGTCCGGAGAGACCTTAGAGCAGCTTCCAGTGCCTAAATGGACTACAAGAAATCTGGAGAGAGACTTTGTACACGGCCATACATATGACAGGACAAAGAGGAATGGTTTTAAACTTAAAGAGGGGAGATTGAGATTAGACATTAGGAGTAAATTCTTCCCTGTGAGGGTGCTGAGGCCCTGGCACAGAGTGCCCAGAGAAGCTGTGGCTGCCCCATCCCTGGGGGTGTTCAAGGCCAGGTTGGACAGGGTTTGGAGCAACCTGCTCTAGCAGAAGGTGTCCCTGCCCATGGCAGGGGGTTGGAACTGGATGAGTTTTAAGGTCCCTTCCAACCCAAACCATTCTATAATTCTATGTTTCTGTGTATACACACGTATTATACATACATAGACAGACATAGACACACATATACAGACATATACACATAGGTACACATATATACATATTCACACGTGTATATACATACCCAAGTACCCGCCCCTACACACACCGAAGGATAGCGGAGACCCTCGCGGCCGGGGAACTACAACTCCCGTCATGCCGCGGGGCTGGGGGGGCGTGGCGCCGCGCCGTGCGTGGCCCCGCCCCCGCCGGTGGGGTGCGCGAGCGCGCAGCGGCTGCCGGCCCAGAGGGCGGTTGGCGCGGTGAGGCGAGGCGGCGGTAGCAGCAGCGGTGGGAGGGGAGGAGAGGAGAGGAGGCGCGGAGCCGGCGGTGATCGGGTGTTCTCTTCAGCCGCTTCCCTGCAGCTGCAGCCGCTGCTTCCCCGTCTGTCGCTCCCCACACCGGCCCGCCGGAGCCCGTAGGGGCTGCGGGGAGCGCTGCCGAGGTTCTTTGCCTTTCCTCTCGCCCGACCGGAGCTATCGTCGTTCGCGCGGCCGTGAGGAGACGGTGGACGGAGGCTGAGGCTGCCCTTTTCCTTTCCCCCTTACTCTGGGCCTCCCCGGGGGATTTGCTGCTGCTGGCGTGGAGTGCCTCTTTCTCCGGCTTCCTTCCTACCGAGGGTGAGTATCGCGCCTGTCGCGACAGAGCCTGTATCGTGAGGGCTGGTTGGGGGCCGCTTCCTCGGGTTGCTTCCCCCCCTTCACCCTCTTTCTCTGCCGCTTTGTGCTGCGCCTCGGCGGGGCTGCCTTTTTGTTACGGTCTTTACCTTAATTCTCTATTTTTTTTTTATCCGGGGTTTGGGGAGTTTGTTCTCTTTTTCTTTTATTCTTTATTTCCCCCCCTTTTTCCTTGGTCCTTTTTCCCGTCCCACCCACCCGGAGTTGGCCGAGCCCCGCTCCGGGGCTGGATGTGCTGGGGAAGCTCTTTGTCATGGAGCGGCTGCCGAGCCGCCTGCCCTCGGGAAGAACACCACTTTGAAAGGAAAACAGACCAAGAACTCGCTCGGTGTTCGCGCTCCGCGGCTTTGCCGGGCTCGGGGGTGGGTTTTGGGGGCGGTGGGGGCGATATATTTGTTTTCGGTGGGGGATGAGTCCCCCCCGCCCCAGTCCAGGCTCCATTTATCGCAGCCCCCTGTGCCGGAGCGCTCAATGGGAGCTGCACGCAGGCGGGTGAAAACAAAACAAAGGGGGGTTTTGTTTTGCTGTTGTTACCCTACAAAATCGTGGTGGGAGAGCTTCCTTCTTTATTTTTTATCCCCTAGTTCGCCCGAATTTGATGTTTTTTCAGTCCGGAGGAATCCAGATAGCTGGTAGGTAAGTTGTGTCCTTTTTAATTTTAAGCTTCTGGAGGGATTTGGAATGTTTCTTTCAGATCTTAAGGCTCGGCTCTTTTGTGAGCACCCTGGCATCCAGCGCAACTTTGGTCGGGTTTTTCTTTTCACTCTTTCTGCCTTTTTTTCCCCCCAAAATAGTTAAATAACGCAATTTCAGGAGGAGCTGATAGAAGGGGAACATTTCTGCCTCTAACAGCCGTGGAAAAAAGGGTTTTTAAAAGGCTGGGGAGAGGAGGAGCAGTTGTGTTTTCAGCTGAATATTTCTTGCCTCTTAAAGAGGATATTTAAAGCAATCGCTGTGTTTTTATACTGAAAGCTGCGCTGGTTTTCCTTTCCCCTTTGTTTTTGTTTAAACTACCCCCTCAAAACCTGCAGCTACTTCATCTCTGCAGAATGCAGCTTCTAGAATACGTGCAAGCAAAAAGCAGCCTAGCTGCACTGCTCTCCTGTTCCTGGCCTTTTAAAGGCCACCCATTCGTGTTTGCTGGGACTCCCCTGCCTTGAAAACAGCACTCGGCAAGTAAAATTACAAAGCATTTCAGCTAGAGCGTTAGGAGAACGATGGGTTTATATTTTCCATTTTGAGCACGCGTTGAGGGGAGTCGGGGGGGGGGGGGGGGGGGGGGGAGAAAAAAGGCTGTTTCCGGTTTCTGTTCAGCAGCTTTTCGTGGCTTTTTTTTTGTAACAAAGAAGCGGCCAGATGACCTGTTGATGATACATCTCCGGTTGCTTTTTGTGCCAGTTAGGTTAGTTGGAGATGAAAGCTTCAGCTTGAACAGGCTACCCAGATGTGTTGTGCGGTCCGTGTGGCTTTGTAATGTTTTAGGCCGACAGTTTTGAAGTGAGTAATGTAGTTCAGGCGTCTGCACGGGACACTTGCGCCTCTCCTCTCCCTGGCCTCCTTCCCCACAAGAAAACCCCCAGTATGTAGAAAATGGAGCACTCCTAGTTGGAAAAATAGACCCGTTTAGTGCTGTGTGAGATTAAGTGTCCTAACTCTTTTGAAGACGTATGAATGGCCTGGCAGGAAGCTTTAGGAATGCGTTTTGCTTGTATATAGGCAGCTACCTTAAGCTTAAACGTCTCCTATTTCAAATGAATTAAACTTGTAGGAGCACCTATGTTACGCTGAGTGTAGTCTTGTGAAGTGCGCATAATGTTTCTGTTCTTACTAAACACAGTATTTCTCAACACCTCAGGTCACCATGCTAGTGTTCACCTTGGAAATTAAGGTTTTAAGTAACTACTAGTATTTCAGTTAAAGCAGAATTTACATATTAGTATAAAGTCTGCCTGCTCTGTTTTGTACTTTGGTGTCAATGCTGGTTTCTATTAAGAAAGTAGTCATGGAAAACAGGATCCTTTCACTTCAGGATTTGTGGTTAGCGATTGTGTTTGTAGATGCAAAATAGAGCATCATCTGCTTGGAGCCAGTGGTATTTAAGACACTTATTCATTTGGAAGGAACTAATTGGAAGTATATCTTGGTATGAAATGTCTTCTCAGACAGGAACTCTGGAATACAGGAAAGCAGAAAACCCAAAGCTGTTTGTAGATGCTAATCTATACCCTGAGCTAAAAAAGGAAGAATGAGGGTGTTTCATGAGAAATCAGTCACATTTAAGTGCGTACTTGTAAGCAAAATTACACAGTTGATTAGGAATTCCTGCAGGATGCCAGTAATTGGAGGTACTTGTTGCTAGCTGGTCACTGTGCGGCTGGCTGGTTCTACTGTAAAAGTTTTGACTGTACATCCAGAGGAAAAAGCCTAGCTCTTTTGCTTCCCAGACGTTCATTCCTTAATCTCCAGGTTCAAAAGCATGCTGACAAACTGTCAAAGGAAGTGACAGCAAAGAGATGGTGTAGGAAGTAGGTCGAGCACAGCTAAATGCTGCTGAGTTTCAGTGGAAAAAGTAAGCGTGTTTCCATCTGATCTGCGTTGTTTCCTTTCAATCTAGAGGTTAACAGAATGCACCAGTATATCTCATACTCCTACTATAGTCCCTTAATTCTCATGAAATTAATACTGCATCCCTAACTGGGCCTAGTTAGCCTGCCTGGATGGGAAGATTCATGGGGAAGAAGGTAAAATAGCAGCTTAGGTCTGATCCCATGAAGTGCAAATCATGTCAGCTGGGCAAAGCTGAAGTGGCTCTATGCCTCTCTGGAGGCCCATAGGCAAGCCTGGGATGGATCTCCCTCTCCCTATGCTGCTGTAGGCTCTCCATTGTGTAGCTGGGGCATCGCGGTGTGTTCTTTATGACCTTAATGTTTTGCAATGGATATGGCAATTAATACTCACAAGTGATTGTGTTTCTTGTTTAAAATGTTTGAATCAGTAGATTCAAAATCCAGGTAAGACAAAAGCTCTTTGGCATGCTAGAAATCATCCTGCAACTAAAAGAAAGGCAAGCTTGTATGCTGTTGCAGCATTTTCCTAAGAGCAGTAAATCTATTGACAGTAACTTGATTTGCAGAAAAATTACAGCCTTGAACTATGAATATGTTCTTTTCCAAGTGTTCTGTATTTCTATTGATTGAAAAGGAGATCTTGTTTCAAGTAGGAAGAGGTGCTTTGCACAAGTCAGTTTGCACAGCTTATGGGATACCTAGGTGAGCCCTGTGTTGTAGACTTCTGTTGCTGACCTGTGTCATGTGATTTGGAGCACCAAATGTTGCTAGCTGTTCAAAATTACCTTTCTGGAATAACCCTGTAGTCATGAATAGATGTGAAACAGTTGACTGCAAAGCTCTGCAGGGAAAGTGTGTTGTCCTCTGCTGGCACTTTGTACTGAAGGTAGGTGGTTATCAATACCAGTCTTGCTCCACCAATGTCTCCCGGTTGGCATACTAGGTGTAAATGTTGAGAGGTGGTGTTTTGGGATGTGGGCTCAAGTGTGAACTGTTCTGCAGCTTGTTTGATTCAGAGTGAACTCAGTGCCTGGGTGGAAGTGTTTGGTTAAGGATTGACAGTATCCTTCAGTCCCTGCCATGCAGGAGCATGGTTCAGTTCATGAACAGGTAATAAAAGTTAATCTGCTAACCTTGTCTCTTAATCCATGCTGATGAATTCAATGATATTGACTTGACTGCTACCCATGGTACTTACTGCTATAAATGCTGAATTTTGTACTTGAATCTCATTTACTCGAGAGCAGAGTGGACTGAACATGGCATTGCAGTTCTGGCTGCGGTTTCAGGATTGGGAGTGTCCTATAATTTTACTCTTCTAATTGAAGGTATATGGTAGTTGTCAGAGTAGGAGCAGTCAAAATCTCTTACTCTGGTCCCATAATTATATTCCTGTTGAGAAGAGGATTCATTCAGTTGACACATTGCAGTACTTTCCTTGTTCACCAGTAGAGTATGTTATAGAAGACTTTGGATATGTATCATGCTGGCTCAAAACACTTTTGATCCTTCTTGATGTTGTCTGTGCAGCTATGTCAACCAGATGATTTTCTGTGCTGACCCTGTTTGTAGCAGATCTATTGCATAAATGTGTTTTTAGAAGGGAGAAGGGTGTTCCTTTTGGGAAAAGCTATTTTTTTTTAATAGTACAGAGATACTTGGGCCAGAGGGGTGCTGGTCTGCATGGTGGGCATGTATGTGTTCAGGGGAGCAATTGCACAATCTAATTGCAAAAGTTAATCAAAATCCCAGATGTAGACAAGCTTTTTGCTGATAAAGTGCTTTTGTCAGCCTGTTAGTTTACATATTAAATGTTCAGGGAGGTAAGTGTGGTGGTTTTGGCAGAAAAGCTTTGGTCACTAAACACTGCATTTCCATTTGTGGGTCTGTAACATTTGTTGTAGTGGCTGAAACTCCGTGTTGTAGACAGCAGGGAAATGAACAGCAAGGAAAGTAAGAAAAAGCTGAAGTTAGAAAGACTAGAAGTGATACAGAAAATATTTTTGTTATTAGGATAGATCATAATATGAATAGCTACTAGAGAATGCTGCTCTGTGGATTGATTGAGGTTTTGCGTGGGATGTATCAAAAATATTTTGTAGATGCTTGCAAGATATGGGATTGAAGCAAGTTGCTTGGTTGAGATTCTTTGGGGAATAGTTTATTTGAGCTAGGACTTGAAGATGGGAAAGAAAACCAAACAAACCTGACCAAAACCACAAAAGAGAAAAAAAAACACACTATAAAGAAAACACAAAAACCTGCCTAGACAAAATTGTCCTTAAGTAGACCACCATCAATGAGTTTTTTCTTCCATTGCCAGCTAATTCATCTGCCTGGATGTACTTAGTTGCTTGTATGCAGTGTTTCTGCAGCTATATAACCATTTGAACTTCATTACAAATGTTTAAAAATACTTTTTCCTGAGCTGGAATACCTCTTTTCCTTAATTCATGTACAAAGTCTGGGGGGTAGACATCAAATTCAAAGGGACTGATTTATTTTCCTTAAGATGACTGTTAAGATCTGCCATTAGCATCAGTGGAACTCAAGGTCTTCCAAGAGTTTCTGGAGGCATAGCAAGAGCAAACTTAGTGATCTGATTTGAGCATCTTGCCCTGTCCTGCTTGCCTCTTCAGTGCTTCTGAAGCACTATTTCTATTTTTAATTGTCTGATGGCTCATCTGGAGTAGTTTGCAACTGGAAAGTAGCAGCTGTTGAGTTAGTTTCCCCCTTCTTTCTGCCAGCTTGTCCTCTAGGATGGTAACCCCTAGACCTGGATCATAGAATGACAGAATGGTTTGGGTTAGAAGAGACCTTAAAGGTCATACAGTTCTAACCCCCTGCCACAGGCAGGGACACCTTCTGCTAGAGCAGGTTGCTCCAAGTCCCATCCAACCTGGCCTTGAACACCTCCAAGGATGGATTATCCACAGTTTCTTTGGGCAACCCTTTCCAATATCTCACCAGCCTTAAAATGAAGAATTTCTTTGATTCACAATCATTCATATTGTTGATTCGTGTTGTCTGAATTGTTCGTTGGGTCAGGGCAACCACACTGGTATCTCC